GGCCCCAAGATTCCTCCCAGACCCCTCCCAAAGAGTCCCAAGAGGCCCCAAGAGGCCTCCAAGAGGCCCCCAAGATGCCCCCAAGAGGCGCCCAAGAGGCCCCAAGAGGCTCCCCCGAGGCACCCAAGACGCTCCTGGAAGCCCCTGGAGCCGCCAAGAGGCCCCCAAGACGCCCCAAACGGCCTCCAAGAGGCTCCCAAGAGGCCCGAAGAGGCTCCCCCAAGGCACCCAAGACGCTCCTAGAAGCCCCTGGGGCCGCCAAGAGGCCCCGAAGACGCCCCAAAAGGCCTCCAAGAGGCTCCCAAAACGACTCACACCACGACGAGGGCCCCGAACGACTCACACCACGAGGAGCCCGAACGAGTCACACCAGGAGGAGGGGCCCGAACGACTCATACGACGACGAGGGGCCCGAACAACTCACACCACAAGAAGCCCGAACGACTCACACCAGGACGAAGAGCCCGAACGACTCACATCACGAAGAGCCCGAACGATTCACACCAGGAAGAAGGGCCCGAACGACTCACACCAGGACAAGAAACCCCAAACGACTCAAACCACGAGGAGCGCTTTCTCTCCCTCCTCCTCCGCCTCGTCCTTCTCCCGCTCCCACCACAAGGAGGATGTACAAGGAGGCGGGAGGAAGGAGGAACAGGGGAGATATGCGGGGGCAGGCGGAAACACGCCTGAAAAACACGACTGTCGGCATGCTTCGCAAGAGTTGCTGTTATGAGATGGGCTGGTGGGGATACGCGAAGCGTAAAGAATTCCTTCGAGTTCAAGGTGCGATCAGGCACTGCGAAGATCGCGCACCTACTGGATGGAGCTAGCCGTTTCCAGAAGTGCAGGGTCGTGTCGCGCGAGACGACGGCCGAGGCCATCAAGTCCATCGAGAAGGAATGGGTCAGGCACTACGGGGCCCCTACGAGGCTCGTGATGGACGAGCGCGGCGCAGCGCGCAGTCGGGAGATGCTCGACTGGACCAGTGACCAGAACATCAAGATGCAGATCGCCCGCGGGGAGGTTCGCCATGTCATGGGACCAGTTGAGCGTGCACATCAGGTGATGCGCGACACGCTGGAGCTCTGGTTCGGGGGGGCCGGCCTGGAGCGCACCATCGAGAACTTGACGGCGGCGTTGGACTACGTGCCCAATCAGATCAACAGGTTGATGCACCACAAGAGCTTCATTCCTGCGCAGTGGGTTCTGGGCTACAACCCGGAACTCAATGACCCCCTGTCCGCAGACACGCTGCCCACGCCAGCGGCGAAGGCTTACCTGGAGAAGGAGACGTTCCAAGAGCCCAAGAGGCGACGCAGCGGCGAGCGACAGCGGCGCTGGCATTCATCAAGGCGGATTCGACGAAGAGCCCGAGCAGGGCGCTCCTGCGCAAGTCGTGACATCCGTGAGGCAGTAAGCGTGGGCGCCGAGTGCTACTACTGGCGTGACCGCGGAGCTAGTCGGCCTCAAAAGTCACGCTGGAGAGGGCCGGCCACTGTGGCACTACGCGAGGACGCGGAGAGCGGCCAGCCCAGGGTCTACTGGGCCACGCACGGCGGGAGCCCACTGAGATGCAGCCCAGACCAGATCAGACCCATCGTGGAGCGGATCGGAGAACCTAGACGACCAGCGAACCTACAGTCAGCGCCGACCACTCTACAAGGACTACGACGCGGAGGTATCGTGCAATTCTCCGATATCAGCCAGTTGCCCGGACCCACCGAGGAGGACCGAGCGGACGAGCCGATGGAGAAGGACGAGCCAGCTTCTCCAGCTGGAGGCACACCGACGGTGGAGCAGGCCAAGGAAGGCCAGCCCAGGCAAGTGCCTGCCCAGGGTTCCGAGCCGCAGGCCAAGCCGAGGCCAGCAGGCAACGAGGGCCCACCACCGACGGCGGATAAACACGAAGTTACAGCAACAGCCAGCCCAAGAGCAAGCAGCAGACGCAACAGAGGTTCCAGCAGTACGAGGTCTGCGAGCAGGACAAGAATGAGGTGAGCGAGCCCAACAAGGTTCTGCGAGAGGTTTCTACTGATGTGGTCGAGGAACGCCGACGGAAGCTACAGGGCCAAGGCCAGGTCGGTTATCCAAGGGTTTCGAGATCCAGACGCGATCGCAGGAAAGCTGGCCAAATCCTCACCGACTATGACGAGTTGAGCAGAACCTTCATCGCGATGCTCGGCCGCACTCTCGGTTGGACCCTGTTCACAACTGACGTCAGCACCGCGCTTCTGCAGGGCAACCGTTCTGATCGTGGGATTTCTGTGCTTTTACCGGCGGAGGTGTGCAGGATGCTTGGCTACCGGCCGGGTCAAGAGGATGAAGCTGCTCAAGAGTGTGCACGGCCTGAGCGACGCACCGAGGATTTGGCGGGAGGATTGTCCGGCGCGCGCTGACCGAGCGCCCATGGCGCCGAGGCGCCGTGCCAAGGACAGGCCACCTGCACCGAATTAGAGGGGGAGGGGAGGGCCCCCACGACCCCGGCCAGCACAGGGGAGTGCGCGGCAGCGGGATGGTGAGGGGCATTGCCTCCGCGAACGTCTTCGGCAACGCTCACCTCAAACCAGAAGGTGCCACTGACCACCCTGTACACCCTAGCGGAGCGGGTGGGCCCAGGCAGCACGGCTTGCCCACCGTGGCGGGTACTCTGAAAATTCCCCGGCCTGACGGCTGGTAGGACGAAGTGACGTTCGTCTGCATGACGGACGTAGCGTGGGCAGTCAGACGTGATGGAAGCTCGCAAGGAGGCTACCTCATCCTAGACGCGCACAGGAGTGTGCTGGTCGGCGAGACCGTCAGATACGTGGTGGTCGACTGGCGCTCACGGAAGCTACCGAGGGTGAGCAGGTCCTCGTTGGCGAGTGAGGCCCAAGCTGCAGCTGGAGGCGTGGACGCGCTCGAGTATGTGAAGGTACACTTCAGCCTGATGCTCGACCCGACGCGCGACCCGAGGCTGAATGGCACCATGACTGGGTTGGGAAGGTGCGATAGTGGTGGACGCCAAGGCGCTCTACGACACGGCTCACAAGCCACACGTGCACAATTTCGACGACAAGCGGACGGGTATCGAGGTGCAAGTGCTGAAGAAGCGCATGACAGCGAGCGCTACGGGCTGGTATTGGGTCAGCTCAGAGCGACAGTTCGCAGACGGCTTCACCAAGCTGGCAGCGAGACAGCTACTGGCCGATCGGCTCAGGACGAAAACGATCAGCCTGAAGTTCGATGAGAAGTTCCAGGCGGCGACGAAGAAGACGGCCAAGGACCGACAGGAGGAGGCCAAGCGGTTTGCCACGTCAAGATCAAAGAAGAGTGCGACAGCAACGATGGCGGCCATGGCATCCCTGTCAAGGTCAGCCGCAGCCAGCGAGGTGAAGATCTATGAGAGGGAGATCGAGACGGCCCTGGTGGAGTTCGAGTGGACCAAGAGCCCGCGGATAATGGTCAAGATACTGCTTAGCACGTTGGTGCAAGGAGCCTTAAGCATCATGATGTTGTTTGTGCTCGAAGCCTTTATGTGCTACGTGATCTGCAAGGTTTCGCAGAAGGAGACGAAGGTCCAGGCCCCGCCAGAGCCAAAGCCAGAGAAGGAGTGGGAGCAGACCAAGGCCCAGAAGGAGAGGAAGATCAAGCTGAGTGCCATCGAATAGGACCTCGGCTGCCAGGGCCCGGTCAACTACACGAGTGTTGGACTACCCGACGGACAGTACGGACGGAATAAGCACGTGATGAACGGGTTTCGACGAGGCTGGGAGATTACACGAGAGTTGCATACAGTGCAGCAGAAGCCGCACAGTGAGCGAAGGTGCCCCGGCAAACCATGATTTGCATCCTGTTTCAGTCTCGTTTCTTTTCCTCTTCCCTTCCCTCTCAATGAAGCTATTTCTTTCAGCAAAGGTTTTCTTTGCGACACGGTGTGTGGCACAGTTCTCTCGAGCGACGCTGCGACGCTTGATTTAGTTTTGATGATATGTTATATGTTGTGCAGATGTTCGAGTGATTGAGGCGAGAGTTTGTACGAGCTTTCATTCCCTTTTTCACCAGTGTGAACTGCACTACATACAATGTATGTTTTGAGGGTTCTGACAGAATGATGTTGGATGCTTTTCCCTCCAGAGGCCCCTTGAGGCCCAGTGGCAGCACATAGCAAGCAGCAGGACATTTACGGCACGTCTGACCATTGTCGTTTGAGCTCGAGAGGCCTCTCGACTGACCGAAAAGGTTACCATCACCATCCCCCGCGTGCAGAGCATAGTGGAGGAAGAGGTTCGAGGAGAAGTTGGCAGGGAATCGGACTTCGATTCGACGAGGGTCGAGGACTTCGAGTGCTTCGACGAGTTCACAGGAGGAGGAGGAGGAGGAGGAGGAGGAGGAGGGCACGATGAATGGGGAGGGGGAGGGGGAGACGGCTCCGCACTGCCCCCCAACCTGGTCGCCCAGCAGGGATCGCGCGGCACTGGCTGGCCCGTCTGGGCTGACCCTCGACCAGCTTCTGATGGACCCGTTTTCCACCACCACCACCATAAGTTGGAGGGGGGAAGGAGGAGGAGGAGGAGGAGGAGGAGGAGGAGGAGGAGGAGGAGGAGGACCCCCTCCCCCTCCAACTTATGGTGGTGGTGGTGGAAAACAGGCCAATCAGCTTCCCTTCCCTCGACCGTCTCTCCTCCTCGACCCTCCGCCGTCCGCTCGAAAGCAGCCCCTGGACCCGGAGCCCTGCTGGAGCCCTGCCCAGATCCGCTCTCCACCCTGGCTCGATCTCTGCAGCCTCGCACACCGAACACGCCCTCGAGACGCCCCTTGCTTTTGCAACCAACTAAAAACTGCCCGCGAATTACAAGAACTTGTTTTTTGAGCTTTGAAACATGTTTTTAAAAAATTATATTCCCCCAAGAAAATTGTTTTGAATTAAAAAACAAGATCTTGAATTCAAAAACCAGACTCCTACTCCTTGCTGTCGAAGGGCTGGCGCGAGCGCGTGGCTTTTTGGCGGCCCCCGAGGCCTTGAAGAACCGCCTGCCACGCGTGCCAGCCACCTGCTGCCGGATCTTCGGCGGGCCGCGCTCCTGCGGGAGGCGGGGGGGGCACCCAGCAGCACTCCTGGACTTGCGCGGCTGCACCTGCGGCCTCGTCCCGCTGACTTTGTTGAAGCAGAGGCCTCCCAGAGGGGGTCGGAGCAGCTGTGGTCGGAGGATCGCCGATGCATCGCCGATGCACTGGCGATGCACTGGCGATGCACCAGTGATGCTGGCGATGAATCGGCGACGTCGGTGTGGAGAAAATCGGGCTCCACGTCGGGCCGCATCGCCGATGCATCGGCGATGCGGCGCGATCCTCCGACCCCGTCTTTTCCGATGACACCGAAGAGGCCTACAGCTTGCATGGCCGCATCCGTGGTCTCGTCCCACTGGCTCTGTTGAAGGCGCCCCACCAATACGCGCAACAGCCACGCCACACGGTGCTCTGCGCGCCGCCGCGCTGCACCCCGGCAGGCTGCGCTGCCTGGTGGAAGGGGGAAGGGGAGGGGAGAAGCAGGCAGACGACTGAAGGGGCCCCAGGACACAAATAAATACACACAAATAAAATGATTCCCCATATTTTCCCATATTTTTTGAGTTTTTGTCTTCCCCCCCACTTCCCCTATTTTCCCATCTTTTCTTGGGAATCGACGATTAATTGTGTCTGTGTGTTTCTTTCCCTCCTGAACGACGACGAACGCGCCGGCGGGAGGCTGGGGCCGGCGGGGCGGGCGGGCTAACAGGAGGGGGGGGGCCGGGCGGAGGCGGCAGGCAGAGCTCGGGAGGAGAGGGAGTGAGGCAAGCACGGGGAGGACAGGGGGAGCAGCCGCAGGAGGCAGACAGGGCAGGGAGCATATATAGGGGGAAAACAAACCTACCTCGCTTTTGACCACCCTCGCTTCCAAGAGATACCAAACGATGCCAAATTGCAGCCTGTACTGGTCAGGCCGCTTGACGAGGAGGCGCGTGGTATGGCTTGGTTTTGCCTGGAAGCGAAAGCGGGGTAGGTAATTCACGCTATGAATATAGGTAAAGGGAGGAGGACGGGGGAGGGAAGGCAAGCGGTTGCAGGCATGCCGGGCCAGGGGCCGTGAGAGAAGCCACCCGCAACGAGGCTGCGGGCCCTACATCGGCGACCTGAACGGGGTGGCCGACCGAGCCCAGCACGCTGCGGCTTGGGGGAGCCCTCTGCGGGATCGCCCACCTCCCCGCCGGGGAAGAGCCGGACGGAGGGAGGAGACGGAGACCAAGGAAAGAGGAGGGGCTGGAGCATCGATGCAGGCATGGGCCGTTTGAGCGCTCGGTGTGTAGCTGGATAGAGAAAGAGAGAGAAACTACAACAAATGAGAGAGATGAGAGGGACATGGTATAGATAAGAGATATGAGAGATGAGATAGAGGAGGGGTAATGTATGGATGCATGAAGTGATGTAGATGAGAGAGATGAAAGATGATAGAGAGATGGGAGAGACGAGAGAGACGAGAGCTGAGAGAGATGAGAGAGATGATACAGATGAGGGAGACGATAAAGATAAAGATGAATAATGCTCGAGAGAAAGAGGCGACGTAAGCTCATGAGTAAAGTTCAGCCATCGTGCTGGCACCCGCACAATCGGGCTCATGGTCACCAATGTTTGCCTAAACGTGACGACAACAGCCGCTTCATCACACTCACGAACCTGGGCAAGTGACATCACGAACCGCAAACACGTGGATCCGCTTTAGGGGCAGTAATTTGCTGAGCCGAGCTCACCGCCCCCCCCCAGCGCGAGCTTTTTCTCGCTTTCCCGATCCGAAAGACACTCTTCTCTCTCCCACAACTCGGCACACTCATGCCCTCTGTTTGATCGTTCCCTACCTCTTGGAGCCCACTTCTCCCCCCCTCGGAACCCGGCTGCCGAGAGCCAGCGGCAATCCCCCGCCTGGAGGTCTCTGAGTTGGCTCTCGCCCGCGCGGGCGCTTCAGCCTCCTTCAGCCCAGAACATGTAAGGACATCACACAGACCTGGTGTTGCCTCAAACCTCCTTGCGTTAGACACGCCAAGTCCCTCTCACAACTTGCCCACTCAGATGCGGGCGCTTGAGCCACCACCGTGCAGGCAAGCGTCCCCCCTCGTTTTGAATTTCCCTCCTCCTGCTCCATCCCCCCCACAGGCCAGCTGCCATGGATGGCCCCACAGACATTGACCTCGTGGAGGCTGAATCCTACTGTGCCCAAAGGTATGAGACCCTCGTCCTCGGCCCCGCAGTGGTGAGCAGCAGTGCATGCCTTCACGGCCATCATAAATGGAACGTGGCGTGTTTCTCCCGCGCCACAAGAATGAACAGGTCAAGAGGCGGATAAAACGCTAGCTTGCTTGTGTTGGCCCAAGAAGTGTTCGTGCCACCAGTTGGCTCATAAGCCCACAGGTCTCCACGCGCAGCAGTGGATCTGCTGGGGATATGCCACGCTCCTGGTGACAAACTTGCGGCCTTGCTTTGCCCTGCCAACGGCATGACTTGTTAGCGAGTCTCTCCCATGCTCCTCACGTTTGAACCAAAGCTGCTCATGAGGCCAGGGACTGTGCAAATATTTGTCTCTCTCTCTCTCTCTCGCTCTCTCTCTCTCTCTCTCTCTCCCCCTCTCTCTCTCTCTCTCTCTCTCTTTCCCTCTTTGGTGCAGGGCATGCTTCTCATCTGATCTCCTTTGCTCGCGACAGCCATTTAGCCTGGAGAGCTTGCTCGTTCGACACCCTCCACAGAGCCATAGATAGATTGCTCTCTTCCTCCGTCGCCTCAGCCGCAGCTGAACGCCAACATGTCGGAGGCGATTCCCAACGCACTCGCTAGGGGGGCCCAGTGTGGCAAGCCACAAAGATGAAGCACAGCGTGACAGGTACAGCTCCTTTTGTGGACCCTTTATTTCCACCAGGGGCACTTGCTGGATGAAATACTGCGGCTCTTCAACGTAAGTGGTTCAACGCAGCCCTGTTTCTTACAGAGCTATAGGACCACCCACTACCTGCACAACCCATTCGTTCATGAAGCTTGCTCTCCTGTCTCCTGAGTATGATCCTTCCTTCTCGCAACAATGATGCCAACGTAGAACACTGACAAATATCCAGTCGGGGCGGTGTGCTGTGCACGATTACGGGTGGCTGCTGGTGCACTAGTTCAAATGTGCGCCAACCTTGAGGTTCAAATTAGCCTCCACTGGCAAACAACTAGCTCATGACAGGCCACTGTCTCCCCATGGTGCGTCTCCTTAGTCTCCCAAACACCCACGCTCGATATCTTTAGGCCAATCAATTTGATCATTCAGCTTTGATATGCTAGGGCATAGCGTCCCTCAAAAAGCGGTTCCAATCTCGCAGGCCTACACTGAACATACTGAGGGCCACAATGCCTCACCTGCCCATCCTGACTTTTTTCCTATCGATGCCATTTATGATCATGCCTTGCCGTTTGAGACTTTTCATCGGTCTCCCCACAAGCGTTCGCTCCCAGGGGGGTCATCAACATGTGGTAGCTCCCCGAGGTACTCAATCCAAGAAATGCAGCATTGACCACAATGGACGCTTCAGCTTCTTCGAGAGTACCTCAGCCGACCCCGTGGATGTGTGTTCGAAAGTCTGAACGTCACGTGCCAATATCATACCTCAAATCGCCCCTATCGGGCAACTGCTCCTCGGGGTACGATCCTCCCCCTACTTCAATCAGACCAATGATGCATTAGAGCACGCCGCATTGATGTTCGCTGTCTGTCCCTGCTGAGGGTTTCTGAAGGTACCTCAGCCGGGCCGCGCATGTACTTCAGAGGGTCTCAGTGCCACCTTCCACTCTCAGACCACAGGTCTCAAGAGATAGATAGACACAACACCCTCGGCTGCCCACATCGGTGTTCCCACGGGCACGGCCCCGTAACGCGCAACGCTGGCCTTCCCTCTGCTTCACGATCCTCTTCCTACCTCGGTCAGATCAGCAAGGCCGTGCCATCAGGCATGCCTCAAGGGGGGTACCACAGCTGCCCAGCAGCCAAAGCCCTGCTGTTAGACCCACCCAGTCATGTTGGCTCCCCTTCTTTTTCCGCGCCTCATCGCTTCACCCCAATATATACGAAGCAAACTCCACAGCCCTTACTGTGACAGATTCGCTGTCCTTTATGTGGCAAGTTGCCCACTATTCCTCGGCTGAGCCCTGGACCAATTTTAAGCCGGGCCTTCGGCATAACTGAAAAAACTCCCCCTCCTTTGATTTGAGATCGGCTTCCCTGTTTTTCTCACTTCACTTGTCAGGAACCTCGACGCTGCTTTGCCAGCCCAGGTCCCAGCAAGAGTAACCACCTCCCTTTTATCCCTGCCGCTTAATGTAGTTCACCGCGCGTCTGCACCCTTTAGCGATCAGACAGCTTTTTATCTGCAGGGCGAGAGCGAACCTCGTCCGCTGAAAGCTACGCGGGACGCACACAACTTTAATTGGCAGAGAAAGGGCGGGAGAAGGCGGGGCCTCACGCGGCCAGGGGCGGGCGAAGCCCAGGGATCAGGCGGTGCCGAACGGGACGTGCAGGAAAAGGTACCCTTTGGACAGGAGCCCGGTGGTGAAGTCCCGGGAGGAAAAAAGGCCGGTGGTGTAGCCGTCAGCGGCGCTTCGAGAACACCAGCCTCACGTACTGCGGGAGAGGACGCGCCACTTGACCAGGTCGACGTCCGAGAGGAAGAGGAGCACCACGGAGTTGGAGAGCAACGTTGTGCCACCAAAGTGATGTCAGGAGTACCAGTCGCGGTAGTCCGCTCCACAGACATGGGGACCCACAGCCTGAAGCGCGGCAGCCAGGCGAACCGTGAACTTGCCGCCGATGACCGACAGGATGCCCGTGCGCTGCAGGGAGAAATTTAGCGATCAGACAGGCACGCAGTCGAGTAAGCCTCCTGCAACCAAAATAAAAACTCCCCTCCCCTACCACTACCTCCTCCTCCTCCTCCTCCTCCTCCTCCTCCTCCTCCTCCTCCTCCTCCTCCTCCTCCTCCTCCTCCATTCCAGTTCCTGATAAACCGATCCTCCCTGTCGCACCCCCATCCGTACCAGCAGAGCGGGCCTGGCGTTCGCCAAAGACTTCCTCACCATGTATAGTCCTGAAGCTTGAAACTTGGAACTGCTTCAAGGATGGAGAGAGGCTGATTTTCAAAATGTGGCCCTCGCCTTAGCACCACGCACATTCACCTTCAAAGTTTGCAACAGCTTCAAGGATGGAGGGCGGCTCGCTTTCAAAATGTGGCTATCGCCTGAGAGCCGCGCACATTCGCCTGAAAGTTTGCAACAGCTTCAAGCATAGAGGGCAGTTCCTTTTCAAAATGGAATTCTCGCCCTAACGCAACCCAAAACCGTGTTAAAAGTTGTTAAGAGTTTCAAAGGCTCGTATAGTTGAAATTCCAGGAATGGTGCTCTGGCACGGGTTACGACTGTCAGGGAGCGACGGTCACGTTGATTTGCGGAGTTGGAGTCTCAAGAACGGTGCTCTGGCACGACTTCGGATTGCAAGAATGCGACAGTACGCTGATTCGCGACGGGAATGGTGTTTGGGAGCGACTCCGGATTTCCAAACGGTTGTCTTCCAATGCACTTCTCGCAGTGAAAAGTTCTTGCAGGGACCCACGAAGAGGGAACTTGGAGAGAGGGCTTGTTGCAGCATCGCTGAAACGTCGTGAATTTACACCCTGGTCCTCCTGCTCCTCCTCCCCATCCTCCTCCTACCCCCTCCCGTCTTCCGAAGGGAAGGGGAGGGGATCTAGGGAAACCAAAAAAAGTACAGATACCAGTACTCTCTGGACCTCCCAGGGTGCGTTCTGACCAGAATTTCGAAACGAATCCAGCGGTGGCGACGAGAGCCTCCCAGCAGGCCGAAAAAGGTGAAAACCGGCAGAGGGTCATGGTATGGGTACCTTGTCCTCCGCTGAGTAGCGGCGCTCCTTCGAGTAGAAGGGCAGGAACATCTTCCTCACGAGACGCGGGCCAGACTGAAACATCGCCGGCAGGGCGCGCGCGCGCGCGCGCCCGCGCGGGGCGCGGCGCGGCCGGCGCGTCCCGCGGGACAGCCAGGGTGCCTGCGGTAGGTGGGCGCCACCAGAGGAGAAGGAGCAGCAGCAGCAGCAGTAGCAGCGACGACGACGACAACGATAATGGAGAGGTAGTCGCCACCAGAGGCGGAGGTGCGAGGAAGAGGTTGCAGGGAGGGAGGGAGGGAGGGAGGGAGGGAGAGAGGAGGGAGGGGGAGAAACTGCAAGCGCTGCTGCTCCTCACCCTTCTGGTCACCATGATCAGCCGCAGCATCATCATCATCATCATCATCATCATCATCATCATCATCATCATCATCATCATCATCATCATCAACAACAACAACAGCATCATCACCATCGCCATCATCACCACCATCCCCCACTATCCCCATCATCACCATCACCACCGCCGCCATCACCATAGTCATCATCATCGCCATAATCGGCATCATCAGCATCAGCATCAGCATCAGCAGCAGCAGCAGAATCAGCATCAGCATCAGCATCAGCATCAGCATCGGCATCAGCATCAGCATCAGCATCAGCATCATCATCATCAGCAGCAGCATCATCATAATCATCAGCAGCATCATAATAATCATCATACTAACCATCATAATCATCATCATCATCATCATCATCATCATCAGCATCAGCATCAGCATCAGCATCATCATCATCATCATCATCATCATCATCATCATCATCATCTTCATCTTCATCTTCATTTTCTTCATGATCATCATCATCATCATCATCATCATCATCGCCATCATCAGCATCACAGTCACTATCACCATCCTCATCCTCATCATCATTACCATCAGCACCAGCATCAGCATCATCATCAGCATCATCATCATCTAGCATCATCATCTAGCATCATCTAGCATCAGCAGTATCATCATCATAATCATCATCAGCATCATCGTCGTCATCGTCATCGTCATCGTCATCATCATCAGAATCATCATCATCAGCATCACCATCACCAAAATCATCAGCAGCAGCAGCAACAGCCTCATCATCATCATCATCATCATCATCATCATCATCATCATCATCAACACCATCATCATCGTCATCATCATCATCAGCATCATCATCATCATAAGCATCAGCATCAGCACCACCACCACGATCGTCCTCATCATCATCAGCATCAGCATCAAACCTCCTCATCAGCATCATCATCGTCGTCATCGTCATCGTTATCCTCATCAGTATCATCAGCAGCAGCAGTATCAGCATCAGCATCATCATCACCAGAATCACAAACATCATCAACAGCATCAGCATCAGTATCAGCATCGTCATCACCATGATCGTCATCATCAAAATCATCAGCATCATCATCATCAGCAGCATCATCGCCATCATCAGCACCAGCATCAGCAGCAGCATCATCATGATCACCAGCACCATCAACATCATCGTCGTCATCAAAATTATCAGCGTCATCAGCAGCATCATCATCGTCGTGGTACCACCATGATCATCATCATCAGCATCAACATCTTCATCATCAACATCATCATCAGCATCATCACCACCATCATCATCAACATCATCATCGTCATCATCGGCATCATCATCATCAACACCATCATCCTCATCACTAAAATCACAATCCGCAATCCGGCTTCACGTCGTAACAATCCCCCGCGAAGGTCAAATGTTCCAGAAAGCAATTATGTTCCCTCCTCCTCCTACTCCTCGTGTCCTCCCTCACCATCCTTCCTCCTCTCTCCCTCCTCCTCCTCATCTTCCGCCTCCTCCTCCTCCTCCGTCTCCCGCTATTCCTCCTCGTCCTACGCCCCCTCCCAGTCAGAACCTGATGTAGAAAGAGAACCACGGAAAACCCTGGGGGAAAAAAACGACAAAACAAATCGAGCCTGGGGAAATTGCTTGGGGGGGTCAAGGAGAACCGTGTTTCTAAAATAACGTGTGCACCTGCTGGGGGCAGCAAGTTCCCCAGGTGTGTGGTAGATGTTCGTTTGTGAGGTCGATGTTGTTGTGTTGCTATGGCGTTCCTTGATGATGCCCCGAAAATAGATTCTGACCAGGAGCAGAAGTAGGAAAAAGAGGAGGAGGAGGAAGAGGAGGAGGGAGAGGAGAGGGAGGAGGGGGAGGAGGAAGAGAACCCCAGCAAGTTCACCATGATTGATGTGGATGTGTGAGTTGTGCTTGATGCGTCATGTGGTGTTCCTTGATTCTGCCCCGAAAGGAGACGCTGATAGCTTGATTCTGCCCCGAAAGGAAATGCTGATTGGGAGGAGGAGAGGAGGAGGAGGAGGAGGAGGAGGAGGAGGAGGGAGCCCCCACTGTAAGGTCACCAGGAGTGTTGCTGGTACTTGCTGTGTGAGGTGTTTGTTGTTATCACGTTCCTGGACTCTGCCCCGAGGAGTACGAGGAGGGGGAAGGAGGAAGAGGAGGAGGGAAAGGAAGAGGAAGATGAGAAGGAAGATGAGGAGCGGGAAGGGGAGAAGGAGGAGGAGGAAGAGGACGAGGAAGAGGAGGGGGGAGGAAGAAGGACGAGAGGGAGGGGGAGGAAACGGGCGAGGAGGAGGAAGCAGCGAACGCGAGCAGGCACTCCGCACCCTGACCGAAGCTAAAACAACCCGCGACGCGCCCACGACGCTTGTAACGCTCCGCCCCTGGCATGGGAGACCCCAACCAAGCCAGGGGCGGAGGCGTGGGAACCGTTCTGGAAGCTGTGCCAGGGAACTGCAGCAAGAGCTGGATTCAGGTACGCAGTCCCACCAGCCCCCGAGGCGTGAGTGAGGACGCGCGCATCCTCGTCGGACCTCCCGCCCTTCGGGGAAAGGTGCACCCCTCCCCTTACACCGTCCCCCTGGACCTGGACAGGGGGGGGCGCGGGTCGTTAGGGCGTACGGTATGGCTTAGACGGCAAGGCGACAATCATTGGCGGCACATAGGTTCTAGGCACAGAATAGGCAGCGCAGTGCGAGCTCGCATCAGGGCTGCACGGTTGGCTGTACGACGAACTCGAACAGGAGCTGCTTCGAGAGATGCAGTAGCATGGCAAGTGGTCCAGTTGGAAGTTCAGTGGGGCTGTAGTAAGAGCTGTGGAAGGACCTGGTGTCGGGGGGCGGCAGCCGGAGATGCAGTGAGAGCTGTCAAAGAGCAGCTGTGCTATACTAAGAGCTGTAGTACGGCCTGGCTTAGGAGCTGTAGGTGGGGGGGCAGTACCAAGAGCCGGGGTGAGAGTTGTGCGACACGGACTGATTGTAGTGTATGGTGCAACGGGAGCTGTGTTAGTAGAGGCTGCAGTTCGATATGAAGCACGCGTTGGAGGAGGAGCTATAGTGAAAACGGTCGGAACATAAGTGAACGCTGTGCTACTGGCTGCATTGGGAGGTGTAATAAGATCGGCACTCGGATGTGCAACAGGATGTGTGCCACCAGATGTAGAGGGACCTGTGTCAAGAGTCTGAGAGCCATGCGCGTGGCTGTAGTAGGAACTGTTGAAGGACCTGTGTGAAGAGCTGGACATGTAGCAATGGCAGTAGTGAGAGCTGCAGTGAGAGCTCCGCTCCGCTGCTGAATGCTGTTGGAGCTTCAACTGGGGCTGCACGTGTGGCTGAAGGACATGCATTAGGATATGTGTGGTATACGATGTGATACAAGACGTAGTGAGAGCTGTACCTTGTAGTGACAGGTGTTAGTTGTTTCGTTTGCTCGTTGTTTCAAGGGTGTCCCTCAATGTTCTACCAACAAGATTTCCAATTTCTTTGGCTGTTGACTGTTGGTCCTTGTGTTTGTTTGTTTCCCCAACTCCATCCTCCACATCCTCCTCCTCACTCCTTCTCCTCAAACTATTCCTGTTCCTCCTTCTCTTCCTCCTCTCGTCATCCTTCTCCTCTCGACCCTCCCACTCCACGTGATGAAAAGGAAGAAAATGATGATGATGGTGTTGATGTTGAAGAAGATGATGACGATGATGATGATGATGCTGATGATGATGATGATGATACTGATGACACTGATGATGATGATGGTGCTGATGATGATGATGATGATGATGACGATGATGATGGTGTTGGTGATGATGATGACGATGGTGCTGACGATGATGATGGTGGTGATGAAGAAGAAGAAGAAGAGGAAGAGGAAGAGGAGATGGGTTCGCGCGGAAGTCCCACACTTGCCAATTCAAACGTATACAGCGGGAAGCGAAGGGGCGATTACGAACTGAAACCACGTTCACGATCCAAAATTACGATGTCATGTTCATTCCTTCTCTCCCTCCACTCCTCCTCTCTACCTCTCTCCTCCTCGTCCTCATCCTCCTCCTCCTCCTACTCCTCCTCCTGCTCCTCCTGCTCCTCCTCCTCCTCCTCCTCCTCCAACCGGTCGCTTCGCCCCCTCGCCCCCCCGCCCCAGCTGTCACGTCACGTTTGCCAGGCGCCCATACGGCGCATCGGCAAGCAAAGCTGCTGAAAGTCAAGCAGCATGCCAGCAGGAGGCTGGGGGGAGGGAGGGAGGAGGGGGACCGAGGGGCGAGAGGAGGAGAACAGTCACTGATCGCTGAGAAAATTACACACGCAAGTGGCCCATTGCTGCTTGGGCCGCCCGCGTTTGCAGGTCAAGTTCCACATGCGCGGCGTCGTCGACCCAGGCTCGCACGTGAGCAGTATAAGAAGATGGTTTTCCCGTCAGGGCCGCTATATGTTCACACAGTTTCGCTTGCTGGTTGCGCAGGGTGACGCTCAAAAGAAACTGGCGCGCCCTATCCGGAACTTCTTTGTTCGAGATTCTAGAGACACACCCACACACACACACACACACGCGCATGGTATGTCCAAGATTCGTCTCAAATCTCTGGCGTGGAAGGCGTCCAACCGACGTTTGTCAGCCTGGAGCAGCCAAACAGATGCCTGCGCTGTACATATATATATATATCCCTCTGTCGCGATATATTGGCATGCGACCAACATGAGTTCAAGGCTTCCAATACCTTTTTTGGTTTCTCCAAGTCGACGGGGTACTTCCACATGTGCTGAAGCGCTTGCACTCGTAACTC